GCCTGCCCACCCATGCGTCCGTGAGGTCCCAGCACCACGTTGCAGCCAACTCCAGTCCGGCCCCCCCAGCCAGGTCGCCCCTAATGACCCCCCCATTTGCCCCCACAGGCCCGTGACTGCAAAGTACTGGGGGACCTGGAGGGTGCCCGGCAGCATGGCAACCGTGCCAAGGTGTTGAACATCATCTGCTCCCTCCTGCTGGTCCTCAGCGTGGTGGCCATCATTGTCATCGTCATCATAGCGACCACCCGGTGAATCAACTGACTGCCGCATGGCCACGGACCTGCTTGCTGCCACCACGTGGAGTGCTTCTCCTCCCCTCCTCTTCCTTCCCCCAAAATGTCCCCACTGGAGGAGCGTGGCGAAAGGGAGAGAAGCCCCGGCCCCTTGCTGCCCGCACCCCTGGGCATCCCAGCACAGCCACCGTGAGGAAGGGGAGGGGTGGGCCGGGTTGGGACACAGGGGACAGCCCCCCTCTTTTCTCTACTTGTGCGCTTCAGCAAGGAGCTCTTGGGCTTCCTGGGATCTGTGACACACATGTACATACTGTTGCCACAAATAAAGCTCGCCTGCCAAACCCAACTTGCCTGTTGCCTTATTATCAGTGGGGAAGAAGAGCGTCCTTGTGCATCTTCAGGGCAGCCTCCTCCTCCTCCTCCTGCTTCCAGCTCCACAGCGCTCTGCTTCTATCCCCACCACGGTGTGGAGATCTTCCAGTCCAGATCCAGATAAGTTTCTTCGTAAATGCTGAGGCATAGCAGAAGAAGGAAAGAAAAAAAAAAAACCCACCTCTGTGTTTTTCTGGCTGTACACACCCCATCCCACTACACAGCCCCATCTCCTCTCGCTTCCAGGGAATCCTGTAGAAGTAGCTTTTCCAGATTTTGGTATTAAGTTGCCATTTAATGCATCCGACAGCCCGAACATGCTGCAAACGAGGGGTCTTCCTAGCCAAGACCACCTGGAGGGATTGGGCTGAAAGTATTGGTGTGAGCCAGCGCAGCCAGAGGTCCCGGCACCAAGGGTCTCTCTCATATCAGCCCCTTGGAGTGACAGTCACTTGGCTTCGAAGTCATGGCTCCATTCTGATGATCCTCCTCAGGCGCTCGGCCTCTCCTTTGGTGATGCTGGAACTGTCTGTGCTCCTCATCGCAGGAGGAAGGCTGGATATAAAAAGCGTGTAGGCTCACAAAACCAAGTTTGTTTCTCCTAGCTCCCAGCCAAGCATGTCTGATAACCACAGCCCAGGGAGGGCTGTAATTTCTTGGGTTTATATATAGAGGAGATGAGGCCGTGCCATAGACAAGGACTATATAAAGGGGACGCCCTGTCCCACTCCCCCAGCCAGGCTGCTGGAGCAGGAGAACTGCAGCGTGCCCCTCTCCGTGGCCATGGACACCTCCTACCCACGGGAGGACTACCTGCCCGCGCTGTCCCACAAGCGGGAGCCGTCTCCGACCATCCTCACCTCCTCGCCACCCCGCGACCACCTCATCTGGTCCATCTTCAACACCATCTACATGAACTTCTGCTGCCTCGGCTTTGTGGCGCTCGCCTTCTCTGTCAAGGTAGGGGCACCAAGTGGGGATGGGAGACTTGAATGTTTAGGGTCACCTGGGAGCCCTCCCCATGTTGGTACCAAGGGATGGCCTTCCCAAGGAGGCATAGAGCATCTGAAATAACTACCTGGCAGGGCTGGGGTAGGGAACAAGAGCCCACCACCCTCAAAAGGCTGGTTGCAGCTGGCACCATCGCCTGGTAAAGCCCCCCCATTTTTCCTGCCACCTATTAACGAGGCTGCGAGATGGCCTGGATAACCACAGCCTCCTGCCACTGCCAGAGGACCAACTGCTTCTTCCTAGAAGGTGTTGGGGGGCCATGATGCCCCCGGCCCCTCCACCCGCCATCTGGCAGGAGCAGCTCCAGCTGGACTGGACCAGGGTGGAAAGACGGGGGCAAGCAAGAGCTGGAGCCAGTGAGGCTCTGAAAGACGCAGAAGGGAAAATCCCAGTGGCAAAGAAAGCGGGGCGAGAGCGGAGCAGGAGCATGTAGAGCCAGTGCGGACTAAATTGCAGGCTGCAAGAGGGCCAAAGCCACGTAGCAGGGCTGGGGGGAGGCACAGGGAGGGAGCTGCAGGCAGCCCAGGCACTGCTGCCCCGTCTCTCGGCTGTTGCAGGCACGGGACCGGAAAGTGGCTGGGGACGTGGAAGCCGCTCAGCGCTTCAGCTCCAAGGCCCGGTGCTACAATGCCCTGGCCACGGCGGGGAGCGTGGTGCTGCCGCTGCTGCTTGCCGCCCTGGTCATCACGGGCGTCATCCACCTCTCCAAGCTCGCCCAGGAGTCTGTTGGCTTCTTCACCTACCAGTTCAGTGGGAGCGACGATGAGGACAAGTGACCGGTGGGCGACAGGTTTATAGAAATTCCTTCGCATGGCTGGTGGCCCCCCAAAAAGACCACTGGTCCAGCATAACCCTGCCACCACCCATCTCTGCCACCCAGGACCACGTCCACAAGCTTTCATGCCCACTGGGCAGCATGTGGCTGGGGGGGGAGGCAGCCCCACAAGCTTCTCCCACACCATTGCATCTCCCCTCACCCTCCCCTGCCTGGTCTAGCACTCTTAGCCCTGCGGTGCCCAACCCCAGCTCCTGGCCACGCTTCTTGGGGCAGCTCACTTATTTTTGTTTACCCTGGTGTTTTTTTAACTCTTATCCTGTATGGAGCACAGCATCCCTCCAGCTTCGGTGATTACTATTTAAATCATTAAACCATTTCACACATCACGAATCTTCTGCGTGCCTGTGTGCAGTGCAGGGGGGGGTGCTAAAGGAATAATATAAATACAGCTTTTCCACTCTGATCATGCTCTTCGCAGCCAAGAGAAGTAATAATCTTCGTGAGCCTTAGAGCCACCCAGCGACTGACAAGGGGAAAGAAGCAGAAAAGTTTCTTGGCCCTGTGGGGACATGCTCAAGTAGATGAGATGTCATCCCCTCCAAGGGGAGCTGAGACGTGCAAACTCATTGCAGTAAAGCAGATGTCCCCCAGCAGGTCCCCAGGCAAGGACAGAGGGGATGAGCGCAGGACGCAACCCCATTGCTCTGTGCTATCTCTCCCTATTGCCCTCCCTGGGCCAGAGCCAGCTCGTTTTGGTAACTGGACTAAAAGGATGCCTTTTTAGGGGGAGGGGAGACCCCTTTTAACACCATCTGAGATGCAGCTCAGAGCTGAGCTTTATCCCCAACCCCATCAAAATCCAAATCCAGGTGCAGCCCACAGGGCTGTTATCAGGGGCGAGGGAACGGAGGGGTGCCTTTGTCCTGCCCTGCTGCTGAGGACTGCTGCTAATTAGGGGTTGGGTGACTTTTGACAAGGCCTGATGGAGAGCCAGCATAATTATAAGGTGGGGGAGTCACTTTGCCTCCTTCCCTAAGCATTCCCACATGCTGCCTGTAGAAGGGAGTGGCTGCAGGGCTTTTTATAAACTCCGTGGGATTCAGCTGAGGGTGCTGGGGTTTTTCTGAGAAAGTACAGACCCTGGCAGGGCAGGGAATGCCTTTGACATCCCCTCACTTTGACCCATGTCTGCTCTAGCAAAGGCTTGGGGCTGGGAAACAAGGCACCAAACCCACCCCCAGGAAGGGGGATGCAGGAGGGGACAACGCTGCAAAGTGCAAGCTGTGTGTTGGGGGGGCATCGTGGCCCCCATTTGCATGTGTACATGGGCACAGCCCTTCTCCTTCTCTCCCTCGGGGCTTTCTAGGACACCGAAAATGCCTTTAACAAATACACAGCAGGTCTGTGCTTGCCCTGAGGCTGCTTAGCCGGAGGAGGACTCTGCTCAGACCCCAGAAAAACACTGCACTTACCATCTGATATAATATTAATGATAACTGATGCCTGGGCTTCCTGTAGCCCTTCAAATGTCAAGTTAGAAGGGCTTTAACTCCAAAACTGCTTAAAAAGAGAGATGATAATGTAGATAACACGATAGGGATTTTATATGCCAAATAACTCAAAAGAAAAGGAGCTGTGTGCTGCCCAAATGGGGCTAAAATGCTTTTGGCTGTGTATTTTGTGACTAACATTAGTGCCAAAGTAACACTCAGCTCCAGCCTTACTTCCATCCACCCTGCCACGCTGCCTGCTGCCCCATGCTGCCTTTACTGAGTTTCTCATTATGGGGGTCAGCAGGATTTGGGGTGTATTAAAACCCCAGAGGCTGCTGTGCGTCGCAGCCGAGGGATCCTCGTCTTTCTGCTCGCTGGCAGGTGGGACTGACATGGCAAAGCAGCGCTGGCTGAGCCTCCATAGCCCTTTGAGCCCCCGGAGTGACGCAGGTGGCTGGGAGAAGGTGAGGACCAAGCCAGGACATGCCAGAGGAGCTGGGAGACAGTGCCTGTACAGGCTGGACTAAATATAGATCCATTCAGCTTGGGGCATCCTTATAAATGTTTATGCTTTCAACATCTGCAAGCCATGGGTGTTTAGAAAACTGGTTTAAAACAGTCGCTTTCAGGCTTGATGTTGTCTCCTCTGTTAAATGAGAGATGTTGAAGGCATGTGAATGGGAGTCAGGGGGTTCAGTGCCGCCTGGCACAGACAAAGATGCTCAGCATCCCTCAGGGAGCTGCTGCCACCCCAGCCACAGGGGAGAGCTCTGAGTCCACCCCCCTCCCCCTCCCCAGGGCCACAAAGACAGACAGTGCACACAGTCCCATGGGGGCAAAGGGTTTATGGCACAGCCTAGGACTGCCCCCTTCCACCCCACCTTTACCTTCCCCCTCCGCCGACATCCACTCTTCAACTTGTTTCTGCTTCTCTGGTGGGTAAAACCTGGATCAGCCAAGGTTTAAAATATCTCAGTGGATGACTTCTGAATCCAGCCGGCCGCCATGGGGATAGAGATGCTCTGCCCTACAACAAAAAACAACCCATGTGAGATATGGGAATGGTTTCTCCCTAAATTGTCTTTATTTTAGGAAGCAGACCCAGGTGATGGTACCTTCACGCAGGGGAAACCGCTGCCCCGACTCCTCCAGCACAGCTTCCAAGGGAGGTGCCAGAGGGTCCTGGTGAGACTCGATCACTTTGATCCTGATCTCTTCTTTGGCGATGGTGAACTTCAGTTTGTTGCCAAAGTAGGAGACACCGGTGATGTTCAACTTGTTGATGTCATTGGGAAGGGCAGGGTTGAAGCAGAGGCTGGACCTTGTGATCCTGGAAAGGCAGGAGCACGTCAGTAGTGGGAACAAAGGGTGGCCACAAAGGAAAGGAGCTTTGTGGGGTCGGTCACCTCCACAGGCAGCACAGCCTCATACATCCCAGATGCCCCTCCCATTACTCCGTGTCTCTGCGGGCAGAAGGAGTCCTTGGTGTATCCCAAGGATCTCCAGGCAATTCCCAAACACACGGATGAAGCATGTGGTGAAGAGCTACTCAGGCCATGATTACACAGCCCAGCACCCTAAGGTGTTCCTGTCCCCCTTCCAGTTCCTCAGCTGGGGTCTGTGATTTCCATTAGGTTGGATTTTTTTTTTTTTTTTTTTTAATGAAAAAGAGAAAAAGAATTTTTTTTTTTGCTTCCAATGCGGCTCCAGTTCCCCACTCCGGTTCAGAGGTCGGCTTCAGCAGCAGCTATGCTGGCAAAACTTCAGGAATACCCTGCTCTGAGACAGGGAGGGGAATGGAGCACAGGAACAAGCAGAGGTGCCCATGGACCCCAAGCAGGAATTGCCATTGAAATCTGGTCACACGAACCTAGGGGCGCAGGCTCTGGGCCATGTACTGGAACTAAACTCCAGCCACATAAGGAGCTCAGGAGATGGCTGTAGCTGGGATTTTTAGGATGCAAGTTTAGCTTTAGCCCAAGCACCTAGCAGCAGGTATCTGTTCTCACCTGCTGTTGCTCTGAAAGCTGTATGATGCTAGCGAAGAGATGGTGGGAGCTCGCCTCATGCCTGGTGAGATGCTCCTGGAAGCCCTGCTCAATTAAATCACGAGACACACATGACCACTAGCACTGTCCCTCTCCTCTGTAATTTGCCACCTCAACAAAGATGCGTCCACACAGCTCGGTTTTCACTTTCCCTCTGGGCTGTGACCAAAGTGCATTGGCACGGTGACCTTCAGAAACCCACATCAGCTCCCACTCCCACCAGTTTCAAAGGCTTTAAACTCAGCACCACTATATGTCCTCCTTCACCGAAAGATAAAAATCAAGCAAACAGCTTGAATCCTTTCTCCAAGACTTTACCCAAAGTCAAGCAGAGCCCATTTGTGTGTTTTGGCTTTGGGTAAGAAGAGACAATGGCCACTTATCTCCTACTCAAATCTTGACACTGGAGAGCTCTTGACCATAATCTCCAGCCTGTTGAGAGGGCTCAACAGACTGGAGAGGACTCAAGAGAGGCTTAAAACACTGGAGAGCCTCAGGGGCAGGCCAATGCACCAGCCAGGCTCTGTGGCTCACAACAGGCAAGGCAAGAGCGCAGCCTTGAGGGCTGCATAAATGTCATCTCCACATCTGCGGAAATTTGGCTGGAGCCCCAAAGCCTGTGGCTTAAGCCTGTGCCAAGAGGGGCCCAACCTGACACACAGAGCATCTGAAGACCTTCAAGCTTTGCAAAAACTGAGATTGAGGTTTTCAGCTGGGAATATGGTAGCTCACACCCAGCTCCACCAAGAAACTGGTGGGTTTCTCAGCAGCTTCTGGCCACACACATGGAGTAAAAACACATAGTTAGTACTAGAAGGTTTCAATGGAAATCAAAAGGCTTGTCAGTTTGATCCATCCTCAATTAAACTAAGAATATGCTCAAGAGCCCATTGCTTCAGGGTTGAAACCACCGGGCTGCTTTGGGTACTAGACACAGCTTTGAAATTACATGAACAGCTTAATGTTTTTTCTAAGATATTTTAATGCTGTGGCGATGCCAGCTGAGCACTTTCCTCCACAGAGGCTTGCAGAGCCACATGTGTGCAGATGTCAGATTGCTTCAGAGGGGCTGTAGAAGGTCTTTCCACGCCACATCCAAAGGAGATGGGATGATGTTATAGCTAAGCCTGAGGACAGACTTAGAGAATGACATTTAGCTTCTCAATTGTGCAACTAACTCATCAAGTGACCCAGAGAGAGTCTCTTACCAGTTCTGAATCTGTTTCCTGTCTTTAAAGTGGGACTAGGCCTACGGCAGCTCAGTGCAGTGGTAGAGGACTGGGGTCTCCATTTACAAAGGTCTGCTTCGAAAGGCCACAGTGTATAAGGTGTATTAAGAAGTCCTGTATTTGCCTGCAAGGTGCTTGTACAGACTTTCTCTTCAATTAGTTAACAAAAAGGCCAATGTAATTGGTGGATCATAGTCTTTAAGCTTCATCCACACTTTGTGAAGAAACCAAAGCTACAACCGCCTATGGAGCAGGCAGGTCTGGATGTGTTTCTGACATGCAGACATCAAAATGATACAAGCTACCCACAATCCCGAGATCATACAGTGATGTCCCTCTTCACTGAGGGTGTCAACTAGTGTTGAAGAGCTCATTGTTGGCCTAGCTTTGACTCCTTTTGAAGCCAATAGCTTTCAACACTGATGTAGTTGGAGGAGAAATGGACCAAAGCTTATAATTTCTGATAACTCCACCCTGTTCTCCACCAGTGACTAACTGTCCCTAGTATCCACAGTTCATCCAGGATCATTGACATTCCTGTTTGTTTGTTACCTGCTGGGAGTTTTGGAGGATATTCTGGATGTTGCAAGTTCCCTTCTTTTTCATAAGTAAAACCACATTGCTCCAGCTAAACAGTAAGGTTTCAAGTGACACCTAGTTGCTAAATGTAACATAACATAGGGGCTCACCTGAACCCTGTGTAGCCAAAGAGGACAGCTTGCAAGAATCCACCCATCCCGGTCAAGAAGTTCACAGCTCCTGACCCATCTGAGTTCTCCACCCAGATCTGCTCCAGCAAGAGAAAGAAATGACTCAAGAGTTGCATTGGGACTTTTCATACAGTTTTGTGGATTTGAATATGCTTATCATTGGCACTGTCACATATGTGGGGTGTTGCAATGACCATGCCCATCCTGGCATGAGGCGGTGGGTGGGCTCTGATGCATCTCTAAATACCACCATCGCCATTCCCTTTGCCATCCCTGGCAAGCAGAAGGAAGCCTGGGGCGAGCATGATACTGACCCTTGGCTTTGTATTGCCTGTTAGGAAGCAGATGCCTCCTTACTGCTCTTCGGAAGCATACAGAGAAGAGACAGAGTGTGCTACCACCTAGTTAATATAACAATAACCTAGTGACCCCACATGCAGTCAGCATAGGCTCCAGTCCAAGTGATATCTCTGTGTGACGTGACCTACTTAGGAACAGGCAAGACAGAAAAAAAAAGAGGCATTTGTCACAGGGAAGTACCCATGACACGACACACAGCTAACCTTGAAGGGCTCTGTGATGTTGCTGAAACACTTGTTCAGTTGGCTCTGGGCTCTCTGCACCTCCTTTAGCTCCAGCCAGCCCACTGCAAACATGCTCTGCAGGAGAGAAAAAAGGCCTTTCACCAGCTCCTGTCTCCCCCAGGGGTGACAATACAGCAAAGGCTCCAGAATGACACCACAACTGGCACCCTTCTGGCCCAGAGCAGACATGTGCAGCACATGTCTCTAGCTCTGCACTGCCCACAATCCCTTAGAGTTTAAAGCAGGTCTGAAAAATCGTGCCCACTGATGGGGCTGGCAGTGACTAACTCGGACAGAAACAACCACCTCATGGATGAATCCCACCTAGGCTTTGCTCCTCTCCTTACCCAGGTCATGGCTGGCCCATCCAGCTCAGTGATGGGCTCATACATCTCCAGGTCATTTCTCCGGACTTCAGAGCTCATGGGGTACATCAGTGGGAATCCAAGCAAGACAACATCAGCTTGTTTCACAGGTTCACCTGGGAAAAGGAGTTGGTGAGACCACGTATGCCAGCTGGGAGTAGATGGCAGACTGATTGTCTATTTATTCATACGCTGAACAAACCTGACTCACACAGAATCATAAACTTAGAACAACAAAGGCCACATCAACAGGGGGAAGGTAGTGGAGCTGCAGGGAGGATAACTCCTTGCTGCCTTGCTAAAGGCAGAGCAGAACAGCAGCTTATGGTTTGTCCCTGGTGCCATGTTTGCTGGAAGCTGTGTCAAGGCAGGACGCTGGCACAGCCCTAACATGATGGCACCCAGACTGCTGTCACCTAAATTTCATGTGCAAAGAAATAGCTCCCACGACACTATGCACCCACATTACCCTGCCTCTAACTGTGAGAAAAGGGGCACTAAACTGGGTATGTGTTTCTACTGGAACTGGCCCCTTCACTTCCAGAGGGCCCAGGGGTGCTGGAAGGACAACACATGGCACTTGACCTTGGAAAGATAGACCTAACTGTCAGCAATGGCTTCATAGCAACCATGTCATCGCAGCCTAGTACTAAAAGTCTCTTCCTACTCTCTGTGTTCCCAAATTTCCTAATTTTATGAGCCCACTAATGAGAAATGATCTGCCAAGAGGCAGAAAACACATCTACGAGCCAGGCTCTCCACACTGGCAACCCAAATGCTGCACTTGGGAGAGCAACACTAGAGATTTTTTTCTTCGGCCAACCATTCAGCCACTGTTCCCCTCTTTGAAAAAGTCAGAGTCCCCACTTCTTGCAGGCTTAAAAAGAAAGAGCAGTGGACAATTCAAAGCTCTGCTGCTGCCTCTCCACTCACCTGGGCTGTAACCATCGTACTCAGGATGATATTTCTTCTCTGCATCAAAGGGCACTTTGATTTTCTTGGCACAGTCCACCCACTCCTCTGGCACAGGGATCAAGAAGTCCCGAGCAATATCAGCTGCAAAATTTAAGCTGAAAAGAAGCAAGGAACAATGCTTTATGTCAGGCATGGGTGCCTGTGACTGCCTCAGAGAGGGGAAGAGAAGAAAGGGAACAGAAAGAACTAATTGAGCCATAACTGCAAAGAAACAGCTACTCTGAAAGAACATGGGTCAAAGTTTAAGCTTGGGGTAATAGCTTTCATTGCTGGAGTAGGGAGTCCATTCCTCTAGCTTTAGATGTCTCCAGCTGGCTAATTGTATAGACACCTCATAAAATGCAGGGAGAGAAACCCTCCTGTGAAGTGGAATCCCTCTCAGTCTCATGCAGACACCTGAAACAGGTCAGACGAACAACCACGGGACCACCTACTTCTTTCTGCTGACTGCAAAGGCAGGCAAAGGAGACGAGCTCGGGTAGAGGTATGTGAAGAGAGGAAAGGTGTATCCCACGTGGGAGCCCTCCTGCCTCCTACCCCTGCCATATTGCTAGGCAGAAAAGAAGAGAGATGAGCCAGTGCTTCAACAAGGCATGCGCGTTACCTCCGCTGGGCCACGGCGTTGGTGTAAACAGAGTTATCAACCCGGTAATGATACTCATCTGGGGGCATGACACCTGGAGAAAGAGGAAGGGGACACTTCACACCGCAGCAAACCCAAGGTTTGGCATGGCTTTGTGCCCCTCCTCAGGGAGGTGGCACAAGGAAGGGAAGCTCTCCCGTTGCAGGGACACCTGCCCACTTGGCAAGGTGTTGCCTCCCTGCTTCTGGCAGGATCCCACAGTGATCTTGGTGCAATGCTCAATAGAAGAGAATGTAAGTGATGCTTGTTGTGAAGGAGAAGCAAATTGGCTTACAGCTTTGGCTGACGGGCAGTAGATACCTCAACCTGAGGGCATCTCCCTCACTTCACAGGCAAGGTGACCTATAAATTCTTTCAAGTCATTCAATCAAGTCATTAAATCTTTCCCTAGCTACACGCTCAGCTCCTTCCTTTGCTGCTTTTGTGCAGATTGTCCCCAGGAGGAGAGATGGCCACTTCCCAAGAGAAACATGAAAATAGACAATTAAATATGTGACTCCTTTGGGGGCACTGGGGCTGTCTCCGAGGATCTTTGCACCAAGAGCTAGCCTGCAGTAACCCCAGGGGCTCTTCTAGCTCTGATCACCCCATTTTCATCGAGACCCCTTTGCCCTAACCCAGCCTTCTCCTCTAGAACCTTCTCCCACAAACACATCTTCACTTCTCATTTTCTTCCTCAGTGTCCCCTTTCAGAAGCAGCCCATCACTGGTAACTTGCGCTCGTTAACATAATGTTGCTTCAGCAGGATTGCTGCCTGGGGAGAGACCCTTTGCCCTGCCAGACATATCAGCAGTTGTACTTGTTCTACACCAACAGCACCAGATGTCCTTCAAGGGATTAAACTCCTGCAGATTCCCTGGGGGATTTAAACTCAGGTCTCCTAGAAAAGACTTAGAAAAGTCCTTCCTCTCTAAAGCCCTTGCACTCTGTTTTCTCTAAGTGCCACCAGTCACAACAGCAGATCTGAAGGCACCCATGCTTGCGGCATCAGCTTGTACCACTATGGAAGGAGACATTTAGACATCATGTCCTATGAGTGGCAAGGGGTTGAAAGAAAAAAACAACCAATACCATGGCATTGGACAAGAGCCAAGCATCTTGCCTTGTGTTCGTACAGACACAAACATTATCTAGGAGATATTCTAGAGGGCCAGAGTCTGAAGAACCCATGCATTCCCATCCAGGTCTGACTGGAGGGGCTCCGAGCCTCTGCTCACAAACCCCTTCCCTACAAACAGGTCTGGCAGTTGCAGAAGTACCTTTGATGTGGTAGCATTGTTCCTCCTCGCTCCATACCATCCTGCTGCACCAGTACTGAGCCACAGCATCCACCAGCTTCCAGCCTCCATCCTCCCTGAATAGCTTCTGGTCCTGGAGGGAGCCAAAGCCAGAGGAAAAACAGGCACATGAGGGAGACCCAACCAGACCCAAACTCAGCAGAAGGACAAGAGCTCTAAGGAGATGGATGTAGCAGCAGAAAAGGTCAGAAAACTGGCCTGGATTGAGGCAACAGGATGCTGAGCCACCCATGAGGAGCAAGGACAGAGGAGGCAGGGCTGAAGAAGGGACCCTGGGGTGCCACCAGCAATTCTGACAGGAGCAGACAACAGCAGAGTTTCTCTGGGAAGGGACGGTGACAGTCACCAGATGCCCTGCAGGCCTTGCCACTGGGCCATGCAGGTGGCACACGCTCCCTTTACCTGCGTGGTGCAATAATACTGCTCAAAGGCCATCAAAACATCCCCAGTGACATGGATTTCTTGGGCTCCATAGATCTCTTCAGGGCAGACTTCCCGGCCGGTGGCTGCGCTCTCCCATGGGAACTTAGCACCCTGCCAGGAGAAGACGTCCACGAGGCAGCTGAGCACAACGTCTTGAGATGCTCTCCCCTGTCCACCACCTGTGGGCAATGCCCTGCTCACAGCCCCTGGCTAAATCTAGAGCCAGAGATGAAGAGCAAAGCCCAGCTGTCCTCCCAGGTGGCAGTGGCCGGGTTGCATTGCCCTCAGCCCAACATCTCTGTCCCCACCTTGTAGCCTTGCTCCTGTGCATTGCGTAAGGCCCCTTCCAGTGTGCGAATCCGGTACTCCAGGATGGCTCTGGCAGCTTCAGGATAAAACAGCAGAATGTTTGGGAACATCCAGGTGTCCTGGAAACATCCAAGAAAGACAAGGTGGTGGGATTGCCTGGTGGGGCACCCAAATGCTCCCACCAGTTTCACCCTTCAAGTCCACCTCCATGCCAAATGCTCTGACTGTGATTTTGCTACTACTTAAAGGTACTGTCCCGTGGGCTCATTAAAAGGGATAAATCCACAAGGGACTGCTTCTGCCCATGCCTGCTGCTCTCTGGTATCTCCCTAGGATGATCTCAGCAGGACCTCCCTCTCATCATGCAAAAGAAGGGAGGCAGGAGTCCTCCAAAGCCAGAAGCTCTGGAGAGGGTCAAAACCACACGCAACACCAGGAAGAAAGCACACAAGGTCCACAGGACTGAAAAGCCCTTGCCCACTGAAAGACCAGACTAGGTTTAGCACAGGAGCCTCAACACCACCCAGCAGCGTCTCCTGCTCACCCCGTGCAATGGTTTTTCAGCTGCAGAACTGTGCACCCAGTCACCGTGGCTGCTCCAAGAGCAGATCGCAGCCTCTGGCTGAGGCAAAGCCACCCAGCCCAGCCGGTTTATCGAGTACACACCAAACCTACGTTTAAAAGCTGAATGACCCCATCACAGAAAACATTTCTGGTTTTTCAGTGGTTCAGGCACAATAGGGCTCGCTGATGCCACCAAAGCAGGAAGGAGAAGGGCAGGTTTCAACTTGCTTTATTTTAAACAGCTAAAAGTTGGTGGCCGTGCTCTAAGCTGGTCACTGAAGCTCCCTTGGGTGAGCAACCTGAACTATCTTAGCCCCATGCCTCAGCTTGGGGAAGGGGTCTGCCCTGCGGTGGGGTCTCTCCTGGCCCCTCGGCCTCACTGGCTAGGCAGCAGCCCCAGGCACCTAGCTTCAATTTTGGCAATTTGCCTTTGATTTAGAGGACAACCCAGATAAGTAACTCCAGGGACCAAACTGGGTCTGGGCAGCCGTTACAAAAGGAGCAGGAGGATGCTCTCTAACAAGAGGCTGGTGCCAAGGTACCCCTGCTTGGGGGTAAGGAGAAAGCCGTCTCCTGCTGGGTCTTCTCCGAGTCTTCTCCATCCCAGTCACTGTACAAAGCCCCCAGGTTACCAGCCAGCATGACCTCCACCCACCTGGTCCCAGAAGACGTGCCCCCAGTAGTCCTCGCCCTGAGTGCCATTGGACAAGCCACCAGGGCTGATGCCATGGAAGAGGAAGCCTGGGTTTCCCTGGGGTGGGATGGCACTCAGCAGGTAGTAGAGACACCCGTAGAGGGCCTGCCTCAAAGGCAGAGGTCCATCCAGGTCTATGCAGCAGCCTCGCCACAGCATGGCCCACGCATGGATGTGGGAGGAGTGCAGGGAGCCAGCAGCGATGAGGGCCAGCCCTTCACTGTAGCTCCTCTTTGCCTCCTCTTCGCTCTCAGCCACGGCAATCAGGAACTCCCAGGATCGCTCCCGCTCCTCCCCATGCAACGTCAAGGTTTGCGGCACAGGAGTCCAGAGCATGTGAACTGTGGGACGGGGTCCCCCCTCCACCTCAGGAACCAGCGTCTTCCCGTAGATGTATCTGTGGGAGACATCAAGCAACCAGGGAAGGGAGAGCAGAGTAGGTGGGACTCCATCACGTCCACCCACTCAGAGGGGACCTCACCCAGCTGCAGGTATCAGGCTCCCATTCCCACCCAGGGTGGAACTCCTTTGTCCCCAAGCTTCAGCTCAGCTGCTGTCCCACCCCCAAAGTGCAGGAGAGTGAAATGCATTACGACTGGTCCCCAATCCCAGCAAGCCATTTTCAGAGGCCATCTCCTCCAAACTCGCCATCTTCCCCAAACTCCTTTCTTTGTAATCACATCTAGTCCCTGTGGCCTTTGTTGCTCTTTTACATGTTGGTAAGTACTAATTCTGGAGTTGCAACTAATAAAAATATTTCTATGCTTAATTTTGGGGTTTGTTTATACCTGCCAGGAAGAAGCAGATTTGCACAAGCCTCCATGCTTCTTACCATTTCAGTCTAGCTCTAGCCTTACTTTTGCAATTTATTTCCTAACGGTGAGCAGGGCAGCGTGCAACAGCCCATGAAGGATGTATTCAGGGCAAGGTCCTCCCGTGATCCAAACTCACTGTGCTCCTTGGAAATCTGGTCCTTGGTTCAGGTCCAAGTCCTGGCTCTTTGGCACAAAAGGAGTCTGGAGCTGGACCGTGATGGGTTGGGTGGTGTGAGCTGATCGCCAGATGGTGATGCTGAAGGCCATCAAGTGGACAAGGGAATGGTGAGCATAGATCTGATGGGTGGCTCCATAATCTGTTGCCTGAAGCACATGGCTGAAGGTTCCTGTAAGCACAACGAGAGCCGTCAGCCTTTTGAACCATCAGGTCCTGATGTTCTGCCCCAGATTCCCATTTCTGCCCTATCTACTGGTTCCTACTGACAAAGGAACCATCTTTCCCAAGTCCAGATCCAAACACAGCTTTTGACTGGACACCACTGTTAACATACCGAATCTGGCTAAGCCACTGAGGAATGATTTGTGCTATAAAACATTTTATCAGGCTTCATGATTAAACAGTGTTTGCCAAGCCTAGCTCCAGCAGGGATTGAGATACAGTCTGAAAATCACTCTTATTCTCACAAGAAAGGGGAATTTGCCACTTGCTCCCACATGACTTCAGAAGAACACCACCCCTCAGGCAAACAGAGAATGGGGAGAAGATGCGACCTTGTGGAAGAGCCAACACAGGCAAAGAGGGGTTTAACTTCTAGAAGAGGGTCACCAGCAGTTAGAGGGAAAGAGCAATGGGTGCCCAAGATGAAGATGTGAAAGGAGGCAGCAAAGGAGATTCCTGCCCGTGCTCTGCTGTTTACCTGTCCAGGTGTTCAAGGTGAAGGTCTCAGCCAGGCTGTCCGCACCAGGCACCATCATCCTAACATTAACAGGGCTGGGGATGTCGGCACGGTGCGTGTCTCCCACCGCCCCATTGTACACACCGTTGATGTGGAGGATGTCCCGGTATACACGGGTGCCCAGGTAAGCATTAGTCACCGTAGCCAGCAGCCGTGGGTCTGAGGGCAGAGAAGTGGAGGTGAACACGGCGGGGTCCTCTTTGCCATCAGCCATTTTCATCAACCCGAGCTGCAGAACAACAACAGAGTCAGGTACAAGGGCTGAATGGACAAAATTGGGACAGGCTGATCGTGGCCATGTTGGACGCCAGCCGAAAGCAAGGGCTGCAAGCTGCTTCTCTCTCTGTAACCTGCCTGTAACAACCCCGCCATCAGCAAAGCTGGCTGCTCGCCTGCTTCCAGCCCCGTTGCACTCCTAGGGTCTCCATTTCTTATAGTCTCCCTTCTGATCACCACCAGCAGTTTTCCTCCATCCCAGCTTTCCTCCCAGTGCCTGGGGCAGCTCTCCTCCACCCAGGCTCATTTCCTCCTTTGCAGCTTCCCTTGCTCTCTCTCTGCTCCAGCCATCTCCCAGCCAAGCAAGGCAGCTCCTCCAGCTCACCCAAACCTCACCGACTCATTGACTTTGTTGCTTCCCCAGTTTCCCCCCCTTTTCCCCTTCCGCTGCCCTCTCCGTGACAGGATCTCGCCAGTTTCTCCCAGTACAACACAACCACCTTCCTCTTCTTTTCTCCTCTTCCTCCCAACACTATTCCATGACACTATTAAACACTCTTCTGTGGCCCCAGCGGCTCCCCATCTCCCAACTCACTGTACCCCTGTGCTCCTCCTCACTCTTCCATCTCTAGCTCAGCTTCAGTTACTGGCTTGCTGGGCTAGGAGCTTTTTATTTCATTGAGATATATATATAAATATATATTAAAAGATATATTTATACACAATATATAAACAAATATATGAATATATATTAAAGATATAGACACATATAGACACATGTAAACAGCACCTCACAAAAGGAAGCAGTAGCTGGTGGCTGGCAAAGCTAAGCACTAGAATAATATAGAAACGATAAAGTAAGGCACTAAGAGACTCTCCAAGCAGAGCTGGAAAGCCAGTCAGGGGGGCACAAGAGCAGGGAGAACATGCCCAGCCCAGGCTGGCAGTCCCCAAAATCCCCTCCGATAGCAGCTAGTTGCTGGCAGCTCTCGGGGTTGGCTCTGTTTCTTCATGCCAGGCAGTGCCTGAGATTGAATTGTGAGAAAAATCCTCTTCCTGCCTTCAAGAAAGTTAAAACAAAACAAAACAAACACAAAAGGGCTGCAGAAAGTGAGGAGGTTAGCTCTTGCCTTTGGTCTAGGGCTGAGAGTGAACTCTGGCCGTGGGGCTCCCGTGCGGGGAGGGGAAGGACGGAAGTTGCCCAACTGAGAAAGAAGGAAGGAAATTACTTTTTTTTTCTCCCTCCTTAAAAAAATAATAGTAATAAAAAAAATAAATCTTGACAGGCAGGTGTTTGCCCAGATGAGCTCATTGCCCACAGCAGAGACCACAGATATGCTGGGGCTGCCCTGTGCTCTGGGAAAGGAGGAACCGAGAGAGAAAAACCAATCTCCGATGATTTACCATCTAAAAGCTGCCTGAGAAATGCGGCAACAGCTCTGGCGGAGAGCTGCAGCTGCTTTCCAGCCAGAGCGCGGGAGGAACAGCACACACACCTCTGCAGCAGGAACTACGTGGGATAACCGCCCTTTGTCCCCAGCCACACTCTAACCCTTTTCCTCGCCTGCTTTCAGACGGAACGGATCCAGACTTCAGTTCTGGCACGCTTTTCCCGGCTTCCTTCCCATGATCCCTCTGTCCCCACCGCAGCGTGCTCTTCCGGGCACGGCACCGGTGCCAGCGAGCACCCTGCCCTGACTTCCCGCACCACAGGGGTACTGCTGGCTTCCAGCCCCACTTCTCCCAGCTCCTGACTTCTACCACTTCTAAAGCCCAGTTACAGATGGAGCAGCATTTTACCATGCTGTCCCCAAAGAGGGGCAGGTCACCTGCCATTACACAAGATGATGCCCATCCTTCCCTGGGCTGAGCTCCACCACGCACCCGGACCACGCCGTCTTGGACCCAGCACCTGTCCCCAGCAGGCTCTTCGCCCTGGCGTGACCATGCCCAGGCTCTCACATTGCTGCAACGTGGTTCTCTGAAGAGATCCATGACCGAGTTTGACCGGTGTGAGTCCTCGAGACGGTCACAGTGCTGCATGCGTGTCCTCTGACCGTGGCAAAGGCTCAAGCTGTTTCCCTGCAGACCATTTGGAGCTGGCAAAGATCCTGCTGCCTTCTGTCGCAGGCAAGCCAAAAAGCAGAAGCCATAACTGCTGAATGCAATGGCCAAAATTCACCCCACGTCATGCCCTTCAGCAAAGGGAGGTGAAAGCCCCTCAAAAGACACTTTCATTCCCCATCTAACACAGCAAGTGTAGGACAGCACAGAAGTATTGTGCTACAAACCCAAGCTCAGAGGCAGAGGGGGCAAAGGAACAAATTACTGTGGATCCAGGTGGATATTCCCCCTGGATCCCAGATATGCCTCCAGCTCACTTGTCAATGCTTACCGGAAGATGGAGGCTCCCAGATCCACCTGTTACTTGATCCTATGTCTCTTCTATCTCAAAGCCTTTCCTGCTCCCTTCCCCACGCTCTAAGCCATCTCCAAGCACAGCCCAAGCGTGGGGCAGCCCGAGCTTTTACTCATCAGCTTTCACACTCCTGCAGCAGGAGCATCTTCAGGGTTCCCTACTCAGCCCCCATCAAGCACTGCCCATGCCTCTAACATGTCAGAGGGGCTTCACAGTGGTTTCGCTGTCCTGCCCTGTGCAGAATGTTTGGTCCTTGTAGAAACGAACCTCTCTCTGCAGGAAGATCTGTGGCCCTGTCCTCGTGGATCAGGGGAGGCACGGAGAGTGCTGCAGCCAGATGCTGTGCCTCTCTGACTGACCTAATGCCTCTGCCCTGGTGCTCAGAGAGGAAGATTATCTTATTGAACAATCCAGCATTTACAGGATAGATATTATACATCTGTTCTCCTCTCTGTAAATCCACAGAAAAGCCAATGTCCAACTAGAGCCAAGCTGCTGTCAGCATTAAGGAAGTGAAAATGTGTTTCCTCGGTCCAGAAGCAGTGAAAAACACTGTGTCTCTTGCCTGGCTGCTGCTTGGGAAAGGCGAAGGCTCCTCACCGCTTCCTCCTGAGTGAGGTGCGACAAGTCCCTCCAGATTCAGCCTCAAGCCCACCACTGCCAGCCCTAAAGAGAACAGATACAGCCATCGACTGAGTCAGAAGGAACAGAAAGAAGGTCAGAGACTGCACTGGAAACATGAGCTTGTAGGGAATAAAATGGGGGGCACAAATAAAGGCAATGTTGTTTGTCCTACCTCTGGGTCCAACGCTGCTGAACAGGAGCAAAGAGAGGGTTTTCCTTGGGCACATGTGGTATCACGTCCTGGAGTGGCCTTCCTGCCAGAAAATACCCAGGGAGGAAGCTGAGGAAAAAGAGGAGGAGCAGCAAGGGTGTCCAGGTTAAGAAAAAGAGCTGCTGTACACCTTCCTTTCCAAAACAAGGGGTGGAAAGGGTCAAAGAGTTCTCCTGTGTCAACTACTCCTGGTCTTTCGCTCACCAGCTTCCCAGATTCACCAGGAAAGCAGACGAAGAGGCAGATGCTCTCTGCACAACAGAGCCTTCCTGGATCAGCGCTGTTGCTGTGGATACCCGAGAGAGATGCCTTGGAGAAATCCAGCAAAGGGCAGAGACCAAGCATTGATGTTTGCTGCCAGCTCTACTCCTTTCATATTCAAGGATCTAAGCTCATACCTTGCCACAGCAAGTTTAATTTAGTCTTTTCTTTAATCTTCACAGCCGCCAGCTGGTCCAGGCAAGGGCTGAGTCTATGGCAGAGGCAGGGACACCCACCCCACCAGACAGCAGGCAGGCTCCCCCCACACGCTTCAGAGCAGAGACCCCACCAAGGCTCTGGGGTGCGAGTACCTCCTCTAGCAGCCACCAGCACAGAGGTGAAGAGCATTTCACTCCCCCAGCTGACCCAACAGGCATGCACTCTACTTCCTTTGCTTTATTAAAGGAAAATTGAAATATTCTTTTTCAGAAAAGCCCTTTCTCACAGCAAGCCAAAACCTCCTCGAATTCTGCCATAGCTGATCTTTCCAAGTAGCTGATCTTGCTGTGGCCAGCACAGGGGGGTTCTGAAGGCTTCCCCCCCCTCCCCTTATTTATCTGCACAGAATGATTTTCTGAGTAAGTCAGGACACAGACAAGTTTCTCTAAGCATTTCAAGGGAAATCTGCTAACCCCATGGGAGAGATTGAAAGAGTTAATGTCTCAAACATTGCGGCGGGGCAAGTTCTGCTTGAAGACGAGCTCTGCGTAACAACAAACCCTGCACAGCGAAGAACCAAGTTTAAAAGCAGCCGCTGAGCACCCACCAGCACTGACTTCAGCGACAGGGCAGGGATGGAGGGAGGGCGCGCAGCTCCCCGCTCTGATAAGCTGTTCTGATACAAAGATCAGACAATGGTCACGTCTGCAGGGAAGGGGAAGTTACTCCCCAAAGGACCCCCAAGTCCCAAAGGCTCACAAACCGCTTATGACACCTAATTAGCCTAATGAGTTCGAGTGCCCGCCTGAAGGAGGGGCAAGGAGGATAAAAGGACACAAACTGAAGCCCCAGGTCCGCAAGCCCACTGGGACTGGACCCCTCGGCTGACTGAACCAACGCTGGACCCAGAACCGTCTGAACAGGACCAAAGAGAGGGTTTTCCATGGGCACATGTGGTATCACGTCCTGGAGTGGCCTTCCTGCCAGAAAATACCCAGGGAGGAAGCTGAGGAAAAAGAGGAGGAGCAGCAAGGGTGTCCAGGTTAAGAAAAGATCCTTTTCCTTTTTTCTCTCTCTGTCTTGTTCTCTCTTTCATTTTCCTTTTCCACAATCCCTACTCCTCATCCCTTTAAGACATAAAACCGTTGACCAAGTCTGGGACTAGAAGCAGATCCAGCCACCCCTGGGCCCTTCTCTGAGGAGTCTAGAAAGCAAGGGGGTCTGCTCTGAACCTCCTGACCCAATGGGAGGGATCTCCTTCTTCCCTGAATTGATGTATAGGGTTACCACGGGTTACCTGGTTCACTGAGGTAGTCTCATGCCAATTCCTGTT